GGGGTGGGGCTATAGTTTGACCCTGTTTGCGTGGACTGTGAAGTACGTGAATATCATTATAAGCTGGCTTGATTATGAAACAGGAAATATAAACCAAAGCTGTACTGTCAGACGTCTAGCGCAATTAAAACAATGCCCAAGTACCCAAGCTGTACAAATCCCGCTAGGAAACTTTACTCTGAGCGTTACCGCTAACGACGAGTTCATTAATGGAGTTATTCAAAACTCGGGAATTGCGCTATGTCAGGTGGACTCGGATGGTTATAAGAATTTAAAATAACAATTTGAATGCATACACAACATATAACCTGTTAATATATGGTAACCAATGCGCGCCGTTTTGAAGACAGCGTTTTACCCACATCTAGCAAGATAATGAAATGATTCCAATTGTGGGCGTGCCAATACAACGGCGCCATCAAGTCTAGATTGGAAAAGACCCAAGTGTTTTGCAAAGTTCCAAGATGTATTGCTAACTGACTGTCCGAATAATTCTCAGAACGGCTGTAAAGTGACTGAAAGTATTACCTTACCATAGATAATACCATAATACAAAAAAATCACACTATTGTAGTATTATATTAATATCATTTTAAATTATGTTAAATACAATGCATGATTAAGCTTTTTAAAAATGTACCTTTGAGTTAGAAGTATAATATGTGTTGTGAAGAAAACGCGTATCTAAGCTTTTTTTTCTGACAAACCACATACACTGTGGTATGTTTCCTAAAACTAATGTTTTTGAAAAAACAAACAAGTGACTATAAGCTGAAACACAGAAATATGTACTCAATGTATTGAACCTGAACCTGAAAATAAATCTGAATCTATAACCAACTTCAGCATCATCAGAGATCACACCACAGTATATTTGGATAAATGAAGACAACAAACACAGTAACGCTGTACATGCGTATAACATCATGAATGTTAGTCGGACTACCTTAAGTGAATTTGAGATAAAGAGGTGAGTTATTGATTAGTGGGTACTGTGCACACTCACATAGCACACATCGATCTAGAAGACACACTCAGGTAGGCAAACAGAGAGAGTTAGCAAGCTGGCTCAAACCTACACAAAACAAAAAAATAGTTAGAAAGTAAAGGTGATACACTAAAAAAAGAAAGATTCCAAAATGAGAAGGATGAAAATACACACATGCAACAATACAAAAAAAAAACTGGAACAATGGACTACAAAGAAGAAAGGGAATTAACTGGTTAGTTATTATAACACGGGGAGATAAAAAAAATAATAATAAACGATTTTAACTAACATGTTGGGATCAGCACTCAGTTGTGCGTTCTCTAAGGCTGCTGACCTTTGACTCGCAGGCACGGTATGCCAACCGCCCATTGTGTTTTGAACATAACCTGGGTTCACTGGCAGTGGGGTCTGTCCGGATAAAACTTTGGGGGTTTTTAGTGGATCGGGAAAGTTCATGGATGAAACTGATGAAGATGGTGATGGTAAGGTGGAGGAACGATTGGTGAAGGGTTGGCTTGGTTACCATGTCGGTCTTGGTTGTTGTCACTGTTACTGAAAGGAGAGCGGGGGTTACGCATGCTGCGGTTAAATGGAATATGAAACACCATGCCAAGATAATAAATAATAATAAATAAAAGAAATCTAATTATTATAACAATTAGCATAATATTAAAAATCATAAAATATAAATAACTGAACGACATTATTTACAGTGGGTGATGTATTAGAGAAGCAAAGGCCTTTCCTCCTCAGTGAAAGTTACATTAAACCACAACTGAAAACCATAATAAAATATTAGCAGTCATTAGATTTTCCTAAATTTCAAATTTAATAGACTTACGACTTTTCCATATGTGGCGAAGCATTGATGATGCGCTGGTTTTGCATCTGGTTCATTTGGTTTTGGCTCATGACACCTCCTCGGATTCCACCATCTTGGGGAGAGATGACATTACCACCGCCACGAATACTAGAATGTGGCACACCATGTGAGTGATGCTGTCCTGGTCTTATTGGCTTGGCTACAATATACAATAAGACAGACCATCAGCATTTTTTTTTAATTTAGTTCAATACAGATCTCTGCAGGCTTTTTTCGACTAAAGAGACAACTACATACAAATTCTCTGTCCAGTCACATGGGCATTATGGAATTTCTCTGTTACATGATACCCTAAAAACAGTTTTCAAAGGATGCCCCTCTTTAAACAGTACAATAAAGCATTCCATCTGTGCATGAAATTAACAAGATGGCAGAAGAGTATAAGAAATTTCCTCAATGGCGTCAAAACGCTTGGGGGTGGGGTGACCTTTTGATGTATACTGTTGCCATCAGACAGCTAACAGATGCACACTAAATACGGCCTAATTATTTGGTTTTATTTTTCCTGATTTCCCTGATAGCTAAATGTGCTCAATTAAAACCCAGTCAATATTCAAAGTTAATGAGATGTTTTTATCACAAACCAGCAAATTGGAAACCTAGTAAATATCCCTACAAAATGAAATCACCTTCAACAGTAATGTAAATATGGAGTGAATTTGGTCACAATAAGATCAAGCAAAACCACTGTACTGATAAACTGAAAGTATATTTACCAATAACAGCAGAATGTGTCCTTCTTGACATATTTCTCTGTCTTACAGCCTCTTTGATCCTATCAACTTCATGTTGATATCTGAAATAAAACATGCTTATTACTATAGAAACAGAACTATTATGTTTAATATTATATTAAACACTGAACTTGTTATGAAGCAAGTACTTTCTGAAAAGCGTCTAGTTTCATTTGCAGATAAAGCTTGCCAAGATTGCCTCATTATGGATTATTTGACAAAGGCAATAAGGCCAACTTAATGTCACTTGCTAAGATGATAAAAGCTGAATGGTCTTGACAAACTTAACATGACATCACTAAGACTAACAACTTTGAGCATACCTTTTTCTATCTCTCATGGCACTGTCTTTAGCGTCTTTAAGGGCAGTCTCCAGAGACTTTACTCTTTCAGCTGTAGCTCTTAAACGCTTCTCCAATTTTGGAAGCTCACATCGAAGATCAGCATTATCTCGTACCAACTACAAAGAAAATTTATGAAACGGGTGTGTTACATTATTATTATTTTACTGAACAGTAAGTAAAACATTTTATTTACAGATATACCATCTATACAAGGCAAGGCTGCATCAATTGTGTTTGGTAGAAATACTGATGGTGAATCTATACTAGGATCATATATTCCACAACATATTATAATACTTGCCTGTTTATGGACTTTGGTTAACTGTTCCAGATTGTTCTCCAGGAAAGAAATTTTCTGTTTCTGAGCAGCACTGCTACCACTGTCGTCATCATTTGCACTTCCATCAATTGCCTGCAGGAATCAAAATATTAGTTAGTATCCTCAAATTACCCTCTTTGGCACCGAATTTTTAATTCGAATTAGTCTGACTGGAGTTCTTGGAATTATATATAAAAAAAATACTCATCAATTCATGATTTCTGAGTACAATATGTGCCTCACCTTCTTGACTCTGCTCTGCAAGTCTTGAACAAACAATTTTCGTAAATTATGCAAAGTTTGGAGTTCTTTAGCCTGTGAAGAAAGGAACACACGAAAAAAAAGAAATAGTGAACACGCAAGTCAACATGTGATTTTGAATTTGTTTATACACCAAAATTAAATGTTTTATGTACAAAAGTTTCCAAATTTTGTGCGTCTTTGAGCTACACATTAAAATAAATTAGTCAACATATATTTAGACTTTGTGTGGGCACAATCTATATCTAATATGTCCTATATTTGAATTTGATAATGCATGCAAGTATTGATGTATTGTAAAGAGACCTACCACAGTCTCTTCCAGTCCTTTCAAATCTTGTTTAGCTTGTTCACGTCTGTCCATTTGTAGAGTCAACTCTTGCAATCTAGATGCCTTCTCTGCCTCTTCGTGTTTCAATTTATCAAAGTCTGACTGCAATTTGCCATGAGCAAGAGCCAAATGCTGGTTGGTTCTGCAATTGAAGATACCGTACATATAAGGCGTATTTTCTCCGAATTCCATTTCTATTGTTTTGTATATTGTATTACAGAAGGAGTGTCACTTACTCTTTCAGTTGTTCAATCATTGCTTCTTTCTCTGCAATTTCATTCCGTAGACTGTTTAGTTGCTTTTGATGAGTCTCTCTGTGACCCTGCATCTGCATCTCAAGAGCCATCTGCAAAGCAAATCATTCCAAATAATCTATTGAATTGCCATTCAACAACATAGGGCGAGGAAGGCATGTATTAAAAATTTACACTTAGCTTTGAATTTTTTTTCAATCTCATTCAATCAGTAATAATTCAACAGATTTGAAAAATTTTATTTACTTTACAGTGACAGAATATAAGATGATGGTCAATGTGTATTCAAATTTCATGTTAAAGTATTTTACTAACATTGTTTACGTCATACAAGACCCATTACAGATGTGACTACCAATAATTTTTTCAGGTTAGGTCAATTTCATAACTCGAGGTTCAATGCTTCTGACTATATCATGTCTATCTCATTAACTTACTGAAATGAATAATACCTACACCGAGAATATAAAAACTATTATGATACCTTCATTTCTTCAGCTGATTTCTGTAATCCTTCGTGTTCTTTTTCTTTTTCTTCATATGCTGATGATCTCATTTCCTCTGTTGTTTATAAACAACCATTGTTAGGTATCAAATATTATTATATTTAATGTTATTTTGTCATAATAAATACATAAAGATATTTACTAGTTTGGACCCACCTTTTGCTCTGAGTTGAGCACACTCTTCATTGAGACTATCAACAGCTTCTTCAAGAGATCTTTTCTTGGCATCTATATCCTTCATGGATTCACTCAACTGTTTCATCTTTGCTTCATGCTATTAATAAGAATAAGAATAAAATTGTAGTATTTCATTTTACTTTATGTATGTAAAATTGATGAAACAACCTGTAGCGTTTAAGTTGGAGATAAAAATGCAAAAAAACAACAACAGAGTGATCAGGACATACACAATAATGCACTGTGAAACAGTTTAAACTAAGCTTGTAAATTTTCATAAATTTTGTTTTCACAAACATCATTGAATCGTCAAAACATGAAAATTCCTGACTATAATGGAGATACTCCATATCTATTAAGAGATTATGTTAATCCTAAATGAGACGGATCTATGAAAAGTTACAAGTTGAGGTTCATGAGAGGAACAGAGGATTAATTTGTGACAGCGCTTTCTAATATTCACCTGTTGTATCAGCAATCTACAAGATGATAATTCCTCTTCGTTTTCTTCAATCTTTTTATTACATGTGCTGGTGTTTGTTTCAAGCGATTTACAGCGATGTGCCAATGTTTTCACTTCTGATTTCATTTTAGTGATGTACAACCTGGCAACAGTGAACTCTTCATCCATCTTATCACTGATTTCAAGTGATGGCTTCTACATGGGTAACAAAAACAGTTTAAGTATGAGGAATAGGTGTAGTACTGTGGAATACTTTATTTTCGCTGGAATTAAATTTCACTGAAAAGGCTTTTTGGGTATTTTTTATGGAATTTATTTTCATTGTCTTTTGATGAGTTTAATGTGAAATATAGGAAAAAAAGTATATTCGCTGGATTTTATTTATTATTCAGCGAAAATAAATTCCAAGCGAAAATAAAGTATTCTACAGTAATCATGCTTTTACAAAAATAGTGAATAGTGTTTGTCCGTTACTTAGTAGCAGGATACTGTACAAAATCCTTAAGAAAACGCCTTGTGATATTTTCATGAAGCTGACAATAAGCGTAGATGTTACACTGAAACAGTACAGTAGTAGTATACCTTCATTTCAGCAGCATTACCACCAACTACAGAACCAATCTCACCAAGATCCTTCATTAGACTACCGAGCATCTCCATAATACGTTTCTTTTGATGAGCCTCGCTGGCTTTTATTGTCTGGAGCTCAGATTCTGTATTGTCAAGAGTAGTCTGTTGAAACAATAACGATATATTATTCAGTGACACCCTTCAACAATATGACTCACAATGACAAATCTTCATCCTAATCTATCAGCCGACTTGTACATTCTGGCTACACATACTTTTTTTTGTCCTATTATACTGTATAGAAGCGCAGCTCAAATAAAAGCACACTTAAAGCAAACATTGTATTTATTTTATACTGGATTATTAAAATACTACTTATTTTGACCATAGAAATATTTTAACTTTTGTATTCACGATAATGTAATTAACTCAGAAAGAAAAAAAATACTTTCACACATTGGCAAAAAATGGTGCATTAAAAATTAAATTATTAATGTTGCGAGCACCTGAATATCTGAACTTACCGATTTAGTGTTGAGTTCTTCATTAAGGTTTTCATTTTCTTTCTTTTTATCATCAACTTCTTTTGACTTTTCATCATAGTTAACAGCCAATTCTTCCAATGCTTGTAGGACTTCCTTGACTTCTTCCTTGGCTGAATCACTTTCAGACTGTAATCTGGACATCTCATGTTGGATAGTTTCATAATCTCGTCGTGACGATGCGATCAGTTCCTCCTGGTCTAGCATTTGTTGTTTCAGTTTCTCAATCAATTGCGCTTGGCTGTCAATTTCAGAGTCCTGAAAATGAATCAACAGAAGTAATGTATAACAATAGGTAATGAATGGATGTGAAATGAAAACTGACAAATACAACTCGCTACTAAGTACCATTGTCAAAGCAAAATGATGTAGAAAAGTGAAACCAAAGTTATTCAAAAATGAGGTACTTGTAGTTTTTTTATAGCTCAATTTTATAGCCCATTTACTACACATAACCAACCAGAAGAAATGTATATACACAATTTTAGTTTTAATAATTGCAGAGAACAACTTTTAACTGAAACCTTTTATATGTGAGCTATCTAGTAATAACAGTCGTAGAAAATTATCAGAACTAGGAATCATAAGTGGATGTAACTGCAAACAATACCTTTTCATCTAGTTGCTCAAAGAGTTTAATTTGTTCAGCTTCAAATTTATTTCTTTCGCCTGAAGACATAGATTCAACATTCATTTCTTCAGCTTTCTTCTCTGGCGCAAGATCTTGCAAGTTATCATTATTTTCTTCAAACTGTTCTTCTTCTGGAACATTCTCACCTTGAAAAATAAAAAAAATAAATAAAAAAAACGTGCAATAATAATTTAACAGTATTGTACTGCATTGAAATTTAGACAAACTCTGATAAACAAAATACCCTTGCAAAAAAAACAATTTCAATATTAATGCTTGTGGATTGATTACAGTTTGTTTGGTGTGACTGTCTAGACACGTACCGTGCCTCCACCGGAGAAGCTCGTTTTCTAGCCGATTCAGTTGATTGCGTAGTTTAACATTCTTATCTCGTTCTTTCTCGTATCGGCGTTTCCATTCTTCAGCTGTCAGTTCTATATTGACAGAAACTTGGTTCTTAATAGTCTTGGCTCTAAAAAAATTAGAATAATATTAATGAAGTTAAAACAATGTACCTATGCTTGTCAGAGATTACAGGAAGCTTCTATTAGAAAAAATACACACAAATAGTACAAGATTTCAAGTGTAATCTCACCTCTGACCAAAACTTAACGTTGACTTTGTTTCTGCCTCGTTGTAAGATGCAGGAGATGCGCAGATGATGATAGTTGTACGAGAATTACCACCAAGAGATTCCTGGAGAATCCTGGTCATTTTACTATCTCGATAAGGGATGTGAGTTTTCTACAAAATTAATAAGCCAGTGTTAAACATTGGATGACAAACAAGATTTAGCTTAACAACTCACTGTATTACAAACATTTATACAAAGATCAAATGCTAGGTAGAAAGTTTATACTCACAGTGCCTTCTGCCAGTGCCGAGATAACATTACCTAATGCAGACAGTGACTTATTAATATTTTTAGCTTCATCTAACACTGTTCCCTCAGCACCAGTTTTACTAACCTGGATAAAAAAACAAACATTACCATCTGTTTAACATATCAAACACCAAATGTTAATAAATTTGCTTAAAGAAGATTCAGATCAGAAATCGATTTATTTACAGTTTTGCACTTACTTTTTCACTACCAGCTAAATCCACCAAATACAACTTTCCACTCAGTTTCTTCTGTGTTTCTACATTCTCTTGTTTAACATGGATTAGGAAGATGCTGTGACTGCGTGAACTATGCTCATTCATATCTGAAATCAGTATATTGTATTAATTAATATTGCATACAAAATTTTCATACAACATTCCCTGTTATTTTCCTGGCACTTTGGGGTTTTTCATAAAGTCCATCACTTCATTAGTTATACGATAATCAAGAAAAAAACAATATAAATATGTATCCCTCTCATCATGACTTGACAAAGGTAAACCCTGTGATCATTGGATCAATTGTGGACTAAAGAACTACCGTTTTGGGGTACAAATGGTTCAGTTTGCAGGCGTACAGAAACAGAAGCATCAAGGAATGGCTTCTTACTTGTTACTGCTATGTGTCTGTTTGCTTTGCCTTCATCTATCGCCTCCATTACTTCCTCTGGACTTGATACAAATCGTTCTGTAGCACCTTTAACAAATGGAACCCTGTTCTTGTCTTCATGAACTGATAAATTTGTTTTGGAAACTAAAAGATAATAAACATTATGCATCATTAGTTACCTAGCATCCATTACAGTCACAAAAATATACAAAATTCAAGAACATTTTCAGCAAGCAATTGTTATACAGTAAAACCTGTCAAAACCGACCCCTGGATAAACCGACCTACTGTCAGAACCGACCGATTTATGTAGTCCCGAAATTTCTCCATAGACGACTATGTTAAAACAACCTGTGAAATCCGACCACTGTCTACTCCGCACACCGACTGCATTGATCGGTCCCAAGTCCAATATTCACACTGAATACATCGACCATCCGACCAGTTGCACCACATCCGCTATCTAGTAATCCGGTCTGCCCGACCTAAAAAGTGTGCATTGTTTAAATTTACCGTGAACGTCACAGAAACAATATCAAATCTCACACTACCAGTAACGTCTCGTGTAAAACAATAGCAACTGATTACGTTTTTCACACCACACGCCCTCGCATCGCGTGATGTCTTGACAGTGTAATGACCCCGGATATAAACAAATGATCGGGGTCATCAACTTCAATTGCGGTGAAGCACACTGCATCATGACTTCTTCAATAATCAAGACATTGAGTTTTCTTCTTTCCATAACGATTCTGATCGACAATTTTGTGCTTTCGAATGTTTCCGTAAAGGGGGCTTCAAGATTGAAATTTATGATGACAAAGAAGCAGACGACAACAAAGAATTCGGAAACCTTATTTAGCAAGTTG